AGTCTCTGCTGAAAGATGGGCTAAACCCAGAAGAAATAAATAGAAGTTTCTGCCTTCCACAGAGTTATGTTTTATTTATAAATTACATTAAAGTTACAGAGTGATTGTCATGGACACCCGCGCAGGGACTGGAAAGGAACATTTGTGAGAAAAGAGTTGACAATCTTCTCCAGTTAACCCATGGGATCCTCCAGTGCTCAGTATCCTGCATCTTTAAATGCACTTTAAGGCAAACATTCATTAGCTGCACTTCTAAAAACATTACTGCTTCATTATTACCCTTGTTACAGCTATGGCTTGTTTAGACGTTGTGAACATTATACATCCATCTTGAAGTTAATTCAAGTAAATGGAAATATTTCAAACAACTTCCAGCATGAAGATTGCTTCAGCTCTCAAAGCACACTTTGCTCCCTGATTATTAAGACCAGGTCTTTTTTAGCCCCATCAGTTCCAGAATTGGCATTACTGGGCACCAAACAGTGCTGTTCAAAGCTCTGTGCCTCTATCACAGAGCTCTATAAGTGTGCCTATACTTCCATGCCAGCTACTGCAATTCCTCAGCTACAGATTCTCATGTGCTGTCCCTGAAGATAAAATAAGCCACAGTGAAGGAAAGGTTTAAGCAGATCTTACTAAGAGATTTGACTGAGACCAAAAGTAGAAAAATAGTAGTGTCATTAATGAAAACAGAAGTGTTAGTTTAAGGCTGGAAAGTAAGACTGGTCCCTCTGCAAACATCTGAAAGTATCACCCTTGATTTTGTATGTGGAGTCCATTATGAATTTACTAGAAATGTACACAGATCACACGGAACTTTGTCATCTATATTATCTTTGGAGGCAGGTGCAAAAGCATGTTTCCTACTAAAATAATACAGACTTACATTTTCAGATCTCCTTGCACAGAGTTGCAGAAAATCAGCCTTCTTCACTATAGAGGAAAAAATGGTATCACCAACTAAGGTAATTGAAAACAGAAAAAGAAGATTGCTTTTCTTGGGTGACTGCTGCCACAAACCTTCTTTCAATTCTTTCCATCTATAGGAATTGAATGGAATCTAGTACAGTCTAGAAGGGGTCTTTAATTGATTTGCAGCCATTGAAGTGTCTTGAAGAAATAGCACATATCACTGAAGTAAACATGAATAGATGTGATTCAGTTGCTATCCTAACATTTACCCCAGCATTTCATTTTGAAAGACAGGATAACTCATAACTAATGATTTAATTTTTTTCGTAAAAAATACTAAATCTTGAATCAATCACTCATACACCTTCTTACACATTATACATATTATAAAGAAATCAAAAATATGTCAAAATTTAAAAAGAATGTTTTGCAAGGCTTTAAAGAAGGACTTTGATACATGTTTCTAGATATTTACTAATTTCTGAGAGCTACCATTTTTATAAAGTGTTTAGCTGAATCAAGTCATCTGCTCTAAGTCCATAATTGCCTTTGAGAGTACAGATGTTCTGAGACCCATCAGTATTCAAAGAACAGGAGAAATACTAAATCTTATGATACTGGCTATTATTTCCACTTCCACACTAGGTCACACAGATTGAATCCACAAGAGAATCCCTCTTTTAAATCATTCTTAGCTCTCTCTTAACACACAGACCATGATAGCCTCACAATTGACCTCTGAACAATTTGCAGACTGTTTTGAGAACCACCATCACCTTTTTAGTGCAACAGCTAAAATGTCTATTTGGGGCATTCAAGCAGGACAAGCACTGGCCTGTTTTCAGTCTCTCCTCCTCCAGTTATCTCTTGACTAATTAGTAATTCCTTCATAGGTTAAGAAAAGCATTAAATCATTAACCAGGAATTTTAAGTTTTAATGTACACTTGTACATGGTATGCAGTTATATTCTTTCTCATTATCAGTGAAGCACATGCTGTGTAGAGGATTATATTTTCCCATCAAAAATTGCATCTTAAATCATGCCACAATATGGTCTCTTGCACAACTCAGGAGTATTGCAATTTCTGTCTTACAATCCTTATCTAACGATTGCATAAGTTTTGACTTTTCATCTCTTTCAGTCTTTAAATCTTTCCCCATTACTAGGGCTCCTTTTTAATATATTGCAAATGAAAAGTGTCACCCAACACATACTCAATTATTCTACCGTACATTAATTACAGAAAGAGCAGGGAACAAATGAAGTATTACAAGTGCCTGCTGGGAGGCATCTACCACAAAATGCAGCATTTCCTGCTACTGCCCCACACCAAACTGAAGACTGGGTGAGTGCCCTTTAATATTTCACTCTCAGGCTTGGGGTGTATTCTCTAGCTGCCCAGTTTCCATGGCAGAAAGTGAGACTCCATTCCCACCAGCTGTTCCACAGGCTCTGACTGTTTTTGTGTCTCTTCTTTCCTTCTTCTGAAGGACTTATATTCCATACACCACCTACACATGACTGGGCAACGGTCACAGGCACAAATTTAGATTTGTATCTGAACAGCCTCAGAGCCTGCAGATCTGGGAACATATTTTGGCTCAGGATGATCAAATGATCACGTTAAAGACCCACACTTCTTTCTCTCTTTACAGAGGAAGAAGCATACAGTGCAGGGAGAAGCTGTGTGACTATATAACTGATAAAGATGCATTAATTGCCAGATGCTGAGGAAATTTTCATCCTCACCATGGGGCTAATGGGCACACAGATCTTGCTGCTTGGATCATAAACAATGGGTTTTTTTCGTGTTGAACTCTGAACAATTTTCTTGGGTTCATTGCAATTCAATGATACTCTCTTCCTATTGGACAGGAATCAACCTGCCAGCCCTGCCACCAAAAAGAAGAAAAAACTACTTGACCTATTTACAAACAGCTGCTTGTTCCAAATGCTGAGGTTGCTAGTGGGGTCAGGTGTTGGTCATGGAGCTGAATGCCTTACTCGAAGTGACATGCAGGAAAATCTGTGCCATCTTCCCACCAAAACGTTAAGAGGTGCAAAGACAGCCTAGATGTCACCTCTGTGCCACTCCATGGTGAGAAAGACCACACTGCACTGTCCCCATGCAGCCACAGACAGCAATCCCAACTGGACATTGACTCAAAAAATAAATAGAAATCTCCACATTTAATCATCCTGTATGTCTGTGTGCCGCAGTGTGTTCACATTAATATAGTTGCAAGACAAAATAAAGAAGAGCATTAAAACCTGGGCTTCAGGACTGAAAACACCATTGCTGTTGAACTGTTTTGTGGCTGAAGTCCCTTTAGTCACATGTAAATTCCTGAAGGGAATGAGATGCTGAAGGGAGTGAGATGCTGAGATTACGTGTCTAACCTGTTTAAAGGTGGTCCACATAAAATTTCAATCTTTGAGAAATATTCAATAGTCCTTGAGCTATTTAATGAAAAGTGTTTCAAAACAGTTGGTGAGTGACATAACACAATGTAATCCATGGAAAAACCAGCGCTGTTCAACACTAATCATTGAAATCTCTTTACTATGAACACTGTTTCATCAATATAAAAAATGTAGCAGAACAGAGTTCTGCTGTCACTTGAATGTTTCTAAATGCAGGAAAAGTTAATTTTACCAAAGAAACTCGAAGTGGTAACTTCCAGAAGACTTAGAGAAGATTTTTACCCAGGCTTTGCATTATAATAAACTGCCTATGATAATATGCAAAAAAAAAAAAAAATCCTTTTGAAACAGCACGCTGGAAGCTGTGGCTGTCAGGAACTGTAAGTGATAACTCACCCCTCTACTACTGCTACCTAACAGGCGAGAAATTGGATATTAAATGTGGTCAGCCAGCTTCAATATCCCAGCAGTATTTCTTTTGTCAAAATGATCTGATAACAGTGAAGATTCATACTTTAAGCTAAGTTGGGTGCTTCATCTCTCAGCAAATTCAGTGCAGAATGACAGATTCTGCTGAAGGAGGATTTGAAGGACCAAAGCTATGAGCCTCTCTCTGTGTGGACTCAGTATGGAGCTTAGTTTCACTGTGATAGCCATGTATGTTGGAAATTGTCAGTCAGACCTTTCCTCCACATCCACAGAAACTAAAATCACATCTTTCTGATTGGAGAGATAAAAGATCCCAACCAAGGTTAGCATTTCTTCTATGCACTATAAGCATATTAGATAGGCCTAATGTGTATCACTCTGAAATTGTGAAATAGGGAAACATATCAGACTATTATACATGCATTAACACCTACACCCATGTAAAAATAACTTTTAAAAAATAATTTAATTTGTCAGATTTTCAATAAACAAAGTATTTCATTTAACACAACAGAATTTACATTATGGTTTCTTTTTACGTTTAGTCTCTGAAATACAAATAAAATTTCAGGCAGCTACTTTGTCTGCCCAGTACACTCCCAATCTCCCTTAATATTTTTATGTTCACTGGTTCTAAGATTTTTTTCCTTCTTCGTTTTTCTTTTATAATCCAGGATGCAATTACTTCTCAGCTGATACTGCAACTCTCTGAAGAGAGCAATCCCTCTTTCTAAGTCTGGCTGAGGACAAAAATAGCTCGGTCAGCTTCTGACAGGCTGAACTTAGCCAAGTGAAATGTTTTAACATTTTTTCAACTTAATGAACAGTCTTATTTATAATGTGGACAACTTTACTGTCATTATTTGCAGACTGCTGAATAGGTTATGGAATGCATTTGTTTGGGGAAATCTGAATATATTAAGAAATAAAATGCAATTGTCTTATATACTGTAAACAATTTTAAGGTTAAATATTCTTTGCCCATTTGAAATAAAGGAGTGGCTTAATGGTAACATCCATAACTATAAAAACACCTGAAGAACCACAATGACAAAAAAAATTACCATTACAAAATTCTATAACCAGTTTAAATATTACTGTTAATGTAACACTGGAAATAACTATGTAGACTAAATAGCTGCAGAGACCTGTAGTACTTATAGGAGAGGGGAAAGGTTAAAAGTACAAAATAAAATTCTAACAGAAAAAAAGCGTGGGTTAACAATTGCTTACCCTCTTTTCTGCTACCTCATCCTCTCCTGTAGACTCTTTGCCATCATGTTCATCTCTCAGGGTTGGCATATGCTTTTTGTGTGCTGGCTCTCTGTTTAAGGTTGTATATCCTATGTGTTCATAAATTGGATTAATTGTCATCTTGGAAATGTATTCAGCTGCTTTCGTTTCAATATAAAGAGTAATCAATCCATCTGTCACCAGGTCATGGATGGACTCAAAACGTTTCTCCCCAACAAAGTGTTTTCCATCGTAGTAGAGTCTGAAGTTTCTGGTTTGACTTCCAAATCTGCCTCAATGAAATGGGAAAGTTGTTTTTTTAAAATAAGAGTAAGCAGAATAAATAAGAGTAAGCAAGCCTTTGCAAACAATTAAAAACACTTTATCACTTAAAGCTGTGACTATGCTCTGTGTCTTGTCCAGCCGAGCAGGGGAACTACTGCTTAGCACAGAGAGGAAGGAGAGATCAACAACAACTGCAGACAGACAGCCAAAACAGTACTGTCCCAGAAGGAGCTGTTTGTTCTGGTATTCTTTTAGCCTTTCCATTATCTATGGAAAAACTGAAAAATTACTTCACACTCCTTATGGCTTTTTTTAGTGCCTTGCTACTTTATCACTGCAGTCAATTTGCTTGGCTGCGATATGAAGAGCTCTCATAACAGAGTCCTCTATTAGAGCCGATCAATACGCAGCTCTGATGCCGTCCTGCTCCTCTGCTCCCCTGCTTGCCTGCAGGAAGAGGCCAGTCAAGGTTCAGCTGAGCTCCAGTGCCAACAATTACACTGAGGCAGAACTGCTGCCAGAACCCGAGCAGCACAGGACAAAATGGCACAAGGGCAAGCATTCTTTATTCCTGGCCAAAGGCCCAGGACTAACTCTTCAAGCTTTGTACAAAAGTCCTTCTGTGTTATGCTTGTTAAGTCCCAAGCTTCAAGCAAATCTTTGTAATATACAGGATATATAACACGAAAGCTATCCAACACCAGCCATTCTGCATCAGGATGGAACAGCATTTTGATACAGGCTCTTAGCAACCATTAGAATGCTGAATTTACCTGAAGAGCAGCATATTTTTAAAAACAGCACTTAGAATCTGCAACCGTTTTCAGCCTCAAAGCAGTCTAAACATGTGAAAACACACTGGTGTTTGCACTTGGCAACATTTCCTGTGGAGAAGATGGAGGCAAGAAGCTGCTTTCACAGCTCACTCCAGTGCTGTTCTGTGGTCAGACAGCAACGAGGGTATCAGGCCTCTTTCTTTATGAGGTCAGATGTGCCAAGTAAGTTTTAAGAACTAAATTTGAAAGGATGGATTGGTTTCACATTACAATCAAATGCTTCATTGGAGATGTTAAGGAGCACAGCAAATAATGATATTTTGCTGAAGTGGCTCCTCTTGTCAGTGGGGCCTCACCAAACAGGGGAAAGCATAAGTTTACACCTTGCCTCAGGTGAAATATTGCATTCTTCTTGCAAATATGGACAAAAAATACATGGTTCTGGAATCTGTATTTTTTTCTCTGTTCTATATCAAAATGCCAAACCTTCCCATCACCCTATCAACAGTTCTGACAGTGATTGCAACTTCAGAAGCTGCTATTCCTGCAAAACACTCAAATGTAAATGGAATCTGCATCCTGCTCAGTAAGGAAAGGGGACACAATGCGTAGGAACTAAGTGGACATTTTCCTGCAGATTAACTGGTACTTCCATGCATATTTTTATGCCATACAAACTAAAAGTTCATTGAATCAATGAGAAATTACAAAATGACAAAAAGAAACACATTTTTACCCAATGTTCATTTCATCACAAGATGCAGTTCTGAGTGAATACAAGTCATTCAGAAAGTAGAAAGATAATGTCCTAAGTTATAGCAGAAGGGGTAGATGTATTCAGACTTACTCTTCAGGGCACCTTTATACTCAACACAGTGTATGGCAAACAAGCTTTGACCACGAGATGTCCTCTTTATACACCCTTGACTGTCAGGGAAGCCCACATGAGGCAAGAGTGCTCAGCACTTTGCAGTGCCAAAGTGAGCAACCTTCACTGCCACCTACTCAGGTCAGTGGGAATAATACACACTGAGCACATAGAAACACCTTGATGGTTCTCACTTCATCAGGAGAACCAAATAAGTTTGAAGGTGAAGAATAATGGGCCTTAAATGACGTATAAATTGGAATGACTTATGTTAAGAGATACAGGTGAACTGCTGCTCTAATCAGTAACATCTGCTCTGACTACTTAAAGCAGAGTTTCAAGCAAGCTGGAGGTCACTTATTGTTCTTAGTTTTCTAAAAGTATTACACTAATTTTACCAAGAGATGATAAGGCACAGAAAAGCATCACAAGGCCTAATACTAAGTACACACAATGTTCTGATTTTAGCAACATCCCTCAAAACCTAAAACCCATCTTGTCTGGTTCTGAAGTCCTGCTCTGAAAAACAAGATGACCAAATGCAGAAAAGAGACAGAACTTCTTAAAAGATTATTTGTCTTTCCCACAGGCTCAGAAGGTGCACCCTCCCACCCCAGGTATGTTTTACTGAGCAGCCCCTATGCTGTAGATCTGTTCAGACTGCTGCACATGAAGTGTGTTGTTGAGAGATACTATAATGAATAGAGTTTCCAAGAGATGCATGGTTTCTCTTTATCCAATTTCCCATTTGTTCCAAATATTTTTTTCCTTTATTCTTTTCTAACAGTCCTGCTCTGAAAAACAAGATGACCAAATGCAGAAAAGAGACAGAACTTCTTAAAAGATTATTTGTCTTTCCCACAGGCTCAGAAGGTGCACCCTCCCACCCCAGGTATGTTTTACTGAGCAGCCCCTATGCTGTAGATCTGTTCAGACTGCTGCACATGAAGTGTGTTGTTGAGAGATACTATAATGAATAGAGTTTCCAAGAGATGCATGGTTTCTCTTTATCCAATTTCCCATTTGTTCCAAATATTTTTTTTTTCCTTTATTCTTTTCTAATTGGATATGTTGTGGAGAAAGGTAGTGGTTTTCAAATAGAATCCTACTAGTAATAAGGCAATAAACTCCCAAAATCTCCACAAATCAATGAAACACCAGTCTTTTACAAAGACTGTGCTGTCAATAATGTGTCTCAGAATCCTGTTTTCTTTCAAATTAACTTAAATTTTTTTTCCTGACCACATAATGACACTATTTTTATCAAATTACAATATTAAAAAAGCATACATGTTAAATTGAAAATTATTACTAAATACTTAATCTTCAATCTTACTTAAAACTATGGTTTAAATTTTTCCACTAGCAAGACTATTTTCTTATGTTTACTTTCTGCAACATTCCTGCAGCCTAGTTAATTATACATCACCGTGGCAACTAAGTAGAGCCAAGATTTGATATTTCAACTTCCTGATGCTCTCCTCCTAAAGGCAAGTACTAGTACCAGCTGTTTTTTGTTTAATAAGTAGAAAGTGGGACACAGATAAAATATGTTCTCTTTTGGTTTATACAGGGGAACATCAGATGTTTTTCCAAGAAAAAGAATTAGACCTCTGACATGTCAAACAGTTTCATTGTGTCCACTATGCATTTGTTTGCAAGCAGCAGGACTACAGATAAAAGACTTTTTATTCCAAGTTGTCTGAAAAGCAATCACTGTCTAGTTCCTTTGGTTGCCAGTGGGGCAGAGTAGACAACGTGGGAAAATGTATCAAACAGTAGAGCAAACGTGGCTGATAATAAAGGATAATAAAGGACTGAGGAGTTGAATTAGGCATCATGCCATGGGAGACAAGCCTCAGAATCAGCCACCTACCTGTCTGCAGCATTCAGTAAAGAAACAAAAGGAAGAAGGGAAGGATTGAGAGAACCGATACACTCTTACCATCTGAGAGGATTAATTTTACAGTCCACATACAGAATTTATAGTAGCTATTCACCACTTTCACAGGCTACTTTATGATGAGAAGAATTTCTAGACACAGGCATTGTTTAGAATGCTAGCTGCAACCAAATGACAAATTAATACCCCTCAGGACTACTCGTGTCCTCCTTAGTTTCAAGCAACTTCATACACTGAACTGGGAAAACTTAAGTCTGGGCTTAAAGGCCACTTGGACTTAATCTTCCCTTGGAGAAAGAGTCTTAATGGGCTTTACAGCCAGAAGGCAGAAGTCTTTCTTAAAATTAGGTGTCAAAATTTCAGTTCTATCTTCTGAAAACTCTCAACCAACACTTACGACTAGAGTCTTGACACTCCATAAAAAGCCACAGGAATATAAGCAATATTGCCATCACGAATGTCTCTTAATCATGCTGTGTTCTCGGGAGTGAAAACAAATTATTCCATAGATCCTCTTTTGGCCTATTTCCTTGTCAAAGAAAGACAAGCCTTGCATGCAGCCAAAACCTCTTCCACACAATTATCCCTGAAGGTCTCCAGCTCCTGAAAGCAGGTAATTTTTTTTTTTAAATATTCATTGGCAACAAGATTGCTGATGATGGCCAGGGAGCTGCAGAACTTGCCAACTTTCCAGAATACCTACCTGACAAATAAAGTGTTCAAAACCTGAGCAGTATTATACAAGAACACATATATATGTGAATATGAATATGAATGAATGTAATCAAATGCACTAGGGGTTGATACAAATGGAGACAAAAAAAAAAATCCATGCTGGGAAGGGTGGCAGAGTACAGTCACTATGGATAGTTTTCCAGGGCCATTTGGAAGGGCAGTACTGGCTAGCAGACTGTTGCTTGATGAACATTAATTTAGTGTAAAGTTATCCCTAAAACCCGGTAACAGCCATGCTGAATGCAGGATACTTGAGTTCAGCATGGAAAAAGCATGGCATCCTCCCAAAGAGAAAAGAGATCTTAGACCTGGTACTGCAACATGTCTATCCCCTGCCAATACAGACACAACCTTTGAGTCTCTAACCTCTGTCTAACCTGGATCAAACAAAAAAATTCAGTGCTTGTAGGGTATCACTGATAACAGCTTCCCAGCAGTCTCTCTCAACTGAGGCTGAAGACATCACTGCCCAAACTTCCTTGTCCAAGCCAGAAAACAATACTGCATAAATAGCGTGCCAACAGCAGGCAGGGAGGACCAGAGCAGTGGCACTTCCCTGGGGATCATAAGCACTGTCAGGGACAAAACAACTGCTCTAGGGCATCAGCAGTAGGCAACAGTTGCTGAAAGCAATGAAAAACAAGTGTTATCAGCTCTTGGTACCTGCAATAGAGCATTTCACAAATAAATCTAACAAAACTAGAAAATAATTCCTTTGCTTC